TCACCGGCAGTCCAACTGGCGCATACCTCAAGAGCTTCTCATATGCCCGAATTAGCCCGCGCGATTCCAGTGATCCTCCCTCACGCCGAGGTATGCAACTTGCATCTGGCAGGGGCGCGATGAACGGCGTGTGCCATTGCTCTGTGCCGATCTTGATCGTCCACCCCACTCGTAGCGCCAACGAACTCGCCCCACCTTTGATATCATGCCCCGCGCGAGTCATCAGGGAGCCAATGTTGCCGTCCTTGCTAAGCACAGCGCCGCCTGCTTCGCATGCGGTGGCTGCCAATTGGCGGGTCCAAACGGCGAGGTTGTCGCAGGCCGACTTTGACAGAGCGTAGAATGCGTCGGCTTCGCGCTCAGTGGCCGGGTCCAGTCCAACGATGCTCGCCGCGCGATGGACTATTCCATCACGAAACTTCTGGCCCTTCGCCAAGGTAGTCGTGACCCTCGATTCTACGGTTAAGGGTTTAGGGTTTAGGGTTTAGGGTTAAGGGTTTAGGGTTAAGGGTTTAGGGTTTTGGGGCCACAGAGGGCCTTCCCGTTGCTCAATCCTTGCCTGGACCCTAAAGATCCTACCCCTTTTAGGTTCCTTATTATGATTTCTTTATAGAAGCCCTTATAGAAAGGTCGATTACTTTGGGGTTAAGGTAACCATAAGCGGTTCAGCCTTGAGGGCAGAGGGCGAGCCAGACCCTAAACCTCTAAACCCTGAAAGCCCTAAAACCCTAAAACCCTAAACCCTGCAACCCTAAACCCTAAAATCCTAAACAGGATGGCCTCCGCCGCCTTGAATCGGAGGCGCCGAACCCTAAACCCTAAACCCCGTTTCGGCACTCATGCTGCAGGGCTGCGTGCCGGATCAAGGGGTGGAGGGATCAAATAAGATGATGGGCCAGCAACAATGTTGGGAGTTTCCGAAAATTGGGGGGGTACCTTATTTTGGGGTCCTTATAGTAAGGATCCTACTATTTAGGGTACTATGTTAGGGTCCCCTATTTTCAGAATCTACCATGTAGGGGCCTTAATAGTTAGAATAGGGATTGGGTTTTGGGTTTAGGGTCTAATGTAGGGGCGTTAATAGTTAGAACAAGTTCTGGGGCCCATTATGCTATGATTAGAATAAGGAACCGCCAAAATGATATTAGTAAGTATTTCGACCCCTATATTACTCTCCAAGCAGCGTGGCCTCCAACTTGTTTAGGACAGTCTTCATGTCCTGCACTGCACATCAACTTTTATCTTAATCGTCCTAGCCTCCTTAAGCCTATAATAGCTCGGAAACCGCGAGCCCGATATACTGCAAATCCAATTTGTGCGGATCAGACCGAGGTGCGAAACCCAAGCTTCACAAACTCAATCCCATGATTCCCATGCGAGGAGCCACGCTGGTTACTTAATCCTGTTCCCTCAACCCTAAACCCATTCCCTAAAATGAAAGCCCTAAATCCTGAACCCAATGCCCTAACAGCATGTTGAAATATCCAAGGTGAGAGAGGCGCCTCAGGAAGTTTCCGCGAGGTCTGACAAAACACCAGATAAGTGAATCCTCAATACCCTATGGCGCTTTCACTACATTGAGGGGGTGCTTTACTTAGGGTTCCTTATAGTAACGGTCCTTCTATCAGACGCTCCTATAGTTATAAAATGAGGCTATATAATGCGGACTTGGGGAAGTCGCAGACGCGAACAAACCCCAGGCCTTGTCTCCAGTTTCCGGCAAAGTGTTAACGTGGGGCATTCTTGCGTTTTTCATTTTTCGCAAACCCCAACGGTGTCTTTGTTACTACATGGGCACACCATATGAGATCATCTGGGCTAAGTAGTTGGGACGGTTTATGTTCCCTTTCAGGAATTTGTAAGTGGTCATGGCCATGCCACATAAGATTTGCACTTGCGCAACTTGCTTTCGTCGGTTGCGCCCGCAAACCTGTGCACTGTGCAGCCCAGGCATTTGCAAGGCAAAAACCTGTGGTAGGTAAATCTCGACACGAAACCTGCCGGCTTTTCCACTTTGGGATACGTTTGCGATCTTGTCAAAGGGTTTCTTGAACTGTGGCCTTTTGGCTCGAGTGTTCCGAAGTATGTTCCAAATTTAGGGTTCAGGGTTTAGGGTTTAGGGCTTAGGGTTTAGATTCATGGGAAAGCCTAGATTCGAAGATCAGCCTCTTCAGTATGAAGCCATGAAGCTCATATGGCAACTAAAGCCTAAGCCCTAAACCCTAAACCCTAAACCATAAACCCTAAACCTAGTAACTGAGGAAAACCATCATCGAGAAGCCGAAGGAGCCTCGAACACTTCCACGGTCCAAACCCAATAGCCTAAACCCTCAACCCCTACCCTAAACCCCAAACCCTTAAACCCCAAACCCTTAAACACTAAACCCTTAAACCCTAAACCCTAAACCTCTCAAACCCTAAACCCTAAACCCCTCAAGCCCTAAACCCTAAACCCCTAAACCCCTCATACATACACCGTTGATCAACAGTCCCGAAACCCAAAGGCATAGAGACTCGAAGCAGGCCCAATCCTAAAGCCCTGAAACCCGGGTTCAGGGCTTAGGACTTCGGGGTTTAGGGTTTAGGGGCTTTATTTAGGGTTTAGGGGGCTTGGGGTTTAGGGTTTAGGGTCTAGGGGTTTAGGGTTTAGGGGGTTTTGGGGTTTTAGGGGGTTTAGGGGTTTAGGGCCTAGGACTTGGGGATGAGGAGGTGTTTGACACTCCTTGGTCGGCGCCGGGTTAGCCCGGGCTTACCTGCGTCCCTGGCCAGGAAAACGGTTTAGGGTTTAGGGTTTAGGTATGGACACCGTCGCTGGAGCACCTGACGAAAGGTGAGGCGGCCCGAGCACTGAAGGGGACGGTACACCGGCCGAGTCTGAAGTCACCTTCGAGCCATACGCTGGAGGCTGGAGTGCCTAAACTGACGCCCGTCACGTGCAGAAGGGCTGCGGCGGTTCCGTTGGCTTGGGAACAGACATGGGAGTTTCCGAAAATTAGGGGTACCACATTTTGGGGCCTTATAATAAGGGTCCTACGATTTTGGGTACTATATTAGGGTCCCCTATTTTCGGAAACCCGCGCATGGCTCCAGGTGAGCCAATGTGGGAAGTGGAGAGGAAACTCACAGGAGGCTCTACAACCGAGGATTGAGGCTGGTTTAGGGCTGAGGGCTTAGGGTTTAGGGCTTAGGGCTTAGGGTTTAGGGCCTGGGGTTTAGGGTTTATGGCTTTGGGTTTGTGGTTGAAGGTTTTTAGGGCTTAGGGTTTAGGGTTTAGGGTTGAGGGGTTAGGGCTTGGAGTTTAGGGTTTTTACGGCTTAGGGCTTGGGGTTTAGGGCTTAGGGCTTGGGGTTGAGGGCTTGGGTTTAAGGCTTAGGAATTAGGGGTTTAGGGCTTCGGGTTTAGGGCCCTAAACCCCCCCGATCCATGGAAGGCTTAGAAGAGCCTAGTAAATCCTTAATGCTCTTAAAACCCTAAATTCCAAGGCATGGCCTAATCTCCGAGACATCCTCCCAAGCTGCCCCTCGAACCCTTGGAAACCCTACTGAACCCTATAAAGCACTCACAAACACCGTCTAGGACATTTTATGGCCATGTCCAGTAGAACCCGCTTGGAAACCGTAAGTCAATCCTGAACACTCCAACTGGTCCAGTAGGAAACAGAAAGACAAAAACATAAAGGTAGCTCAAGCAAAGTCCAAGTGTCTAAACCCCTACGCCCCCAAAACCCTAAACCCTTAACCCTAAGCCCCCAAAACCCTGCACCAAAAAACCTTAAATCCTAAACCCAGAGCCCCCAAACCCTAACCCCTAAACCCTAAGCCCCCAAACCCTAAACCCAAAACCCCAAACCCCAAACCCTAAGCCCTAAACCCTAAGCCGCCAAACCCTAAACCCTAAACCCTAAACCCCAAACCCTAAACCCTAAGCCCCCAAACCCCAAACCCTTAACCCTAAGCCCGCAAACCCTAAACCCCAAACCCTGATCCCTAAAACCCTGAACCCTAAGCCCCCAAACCCTAAACCCTGAACCCTAAACCCTAAACCCCCAAACCCTAAACCCTAAGCCCCCAAACCCTAGACCCTAAACCTGTGAAAACACGTCGCATGTGATCGC